TATTGTAGTACCCAATCTGAGTCGCGATCTATTATCTCCCTCCCCCTCCGCCCCTCCCTCGCTCCCGCCCCTCTCTCCTCCTATCCTCATCACGGCTTGCAATCACGCCTTCCATATCCCTTGTTTGGGACAGGTCCCTTCCCCACTCTGCCCCGTTTGCCGTTACAACCACGATGACGCCCTTGCCCACCATTCCTCCGCCTGCACGGACTGCGGGCGGACCACCGACCTGTGGGTCTGCCTGGTTTGTGCCTACGTAGGGTGCGGCCGGTATCATGCCCACCATTCTCGAAACCATTACCTGGCCACCCTCCACGCCTATGCCATCGAGGTTCAGACCCAGCAAGTCTGGGATTACGTGGGGGATGGCTACGTTCACAGGTTACTCTACCATCCGTACTCCGCAGGAGGAGAAGGCGGTGGGGAGGGAGGGAAAATCGTCGAGGTCCCCGATCCTAACACCAATTCCAATCAACGGCCGCGGCATGCGCCCTTGCCGGAGGCGATGGAAGAGGAAATGGTGCACCGGAAGCTGGAAAACTGGGCCGAGCAATACACGGTGCTCCTCTCGACGGGGCTACAAGAGCAACAAACGCGCTTTGAGGCACGCTTGGCTGCGCTACGGACAGCATTTTCGCCTTCTCATCGTTCTTCCTCGTCGGGCGCTACGGTGGTGGCAGCCTTGCGGCAAGAAAAACGGCAAATGGAGAAACGTTGCGCAGGGGCTCGGGAACGCTTGCGGAAAGTGAGGGAGGAGGTGGGTTTCTTGAGCGCTGTGAACGCGTCCCTGGAGGCAAATCAAGAATCGGTAGCAGCCTCCTTGCGGGAGGCACAAGAGGAGCTGATGAAGACAGAGAAGGAAAGAGAGACGATGGTGGGCCCATTGGAAGAGAGATTACGGCAATTGATGACGCGCTTGGATTGTCAAATCGGGGATGGATCGGAATCGAAAGCGCTAGGAGACCATGGAGTGCAGGAAGCCAAAGAGAGAGGTTGTGGGGAAGCTGGGGGTGATAGTGGAGATAGACGTCAGGGGAAAGACCGCAAAGAGGGTTGATTGGATCAACAGGTCAACAACGACTCTATTGAAATCGGCTGGAGGATTGTGGTTTCAATTATTTTCACGCAATCGCACTTGCAATCGCGATTCAAATTAAAGTACCTTCAAAGTTTCGCGTACTCTTACAGGTTTCAAATACGGTTTTGGTTGCTTGATGTGTGACATAAACTGTAATTGTACCGATTAGCCGAATACTTTCAAGACAGATAGATAATTTCTCTGGAGTATTGGTTTTCTACTACCATTTTACTTTCAATCATATAAAGTTTTTATCATAATTCGTTACTCCCCAATTGTCTTCAGTGGCGTAACAAAAACGAAAAGACAATTTCTCAACAAGCAAGCCACTTTGGGATCACGTGAGACCATGTTATGAAGGAGCACTGCATTTGTACTTCAAGACTTTATGCAATAATTTAAATGAGTACGATTTAAGTGACGCCAATTCCACCTGACCAAATTTGGCAACGAATCGAGTATGCTCACGCACGGCACTCAATTTCAATGTATCGTCATTACTGTAACTCATTCACACCTGCTCTTCATACGACACATGTATGAAGCTGATAATATTTGGCACCACATGTGGGCATCGTAGGACCCTCCAACGAAAGCCCAAGACTTGCTCAGGAGGACATCTGAAATTAACGGTCAAACGTCAGTTTCAGAGAAACGACCGACATCAAACGAAAAAAGAACAGTCAACGTACACTTGATAAGATTGTGATGAGTGTTTACATGACAGGATTGCATGCATACTGGAGAAGTCTTTGTAAACCATTTATATAAAAATTCATCTCTACATTATTACGCAAGTAGAGCCTAAAAGTATAGATGTTGTGACCACGCATTCACCCAGAGTTTTCGAGGCGTCCCACATGTCTACTTCCGCTAAATATTTAACCAAAGCGATCATTTCCTTTTTACCATGGTATTGCCTAGCCCCTCATTTAGAATTCACACTCTGCCATGTATGTCATCTATCATATCTAACGACGATTGCTTTGTCACTGATCACTTTTCTTTAGACAGCACCCACTGTGGGCATAAAGCGTCCATCTCACACAAGAGATATGCGTCTCCCTTTCGTCTCTGCATGCCTCGTCGTACTTGGCATTGTCCATGCCCCCATCGCAGTCGCGCAGGAGTGTCCCACTCTCACACTCACTGGCAAGGCACGTCCGAGCCCCAAGCGCGGAATCTTGGCGGGTAAAGGTCATGCCAGGGTCACAGTCACTCTCCGAAGTAAGGAAGTCGTGGATGATCTCAACTTCAAACTGCTGCTACCAGCCGGTGTGTCACTTGTGCGTTCGTCCAGTCGTCCGAAGCCGCGCATCTACCCTGAAGTCGTCGAGAACCTGGACGGATCAACAGCCGTGTTTTGGCTCGGCTTTGACTTTGTGAAAGCCAAGGGCGGCAAGCGTGTTTTCAAAGCCAAACTGAAAGTCGACGAGTGTGCCCCAGAGACCCTGACAGTCACCGGTCTAGCGTATTTGGTCAATGCGACGGACCTCACAACCTACTGCGCGACGCCGTTGGCAAGTCCCGCAGTCTTGAATGTGCGGTATTCGAAAGCCAAGAAGGCGGTTACATGTGCGCCGACTCCCGCTCCGACTGTCAACCCCACACAGCCCTTTGTGTTGTTTGGTGAAGGACAGCGATGCTTGGAGGCAGGCCGACTGGCACCATTCGACGGTCGCCGCTTGTCGTCGAGCTTCGGCGTGGATCGTGGTGACACGGACTCGATCCACGCGGAGCACCGGCAGCTACAATCAATAGCAACGCCAAGTGACTGCTACACATACTGCTCTCTGAACGGGGGGGAGTCGACGCCTTTCTTTTTCAACTGGAACACGGTCACATCCCAGTGTTTCTGCTGCGGGGGCGAGTGCACGTTGATTATTGACCCAGCGTTCAACGCGTATGAAGTCATCGTCGCTGCAACAGGCGCTCCAACGGCGGCTCCCACGCCGGTCCCTTCAGCAGTCCCTACCGCATCGCCTACAGCTGCCCCTACGGCATCGCC